CACCTGGGGACACACCTGGGGACACTGGTGACGTCACAGACACACCTGGGGCCATTGGGGACACACCTGGGGACACTGGTGACGTCACAGACACACCTGGGGACATTGGGGACGTCACTGACACACCTGGTGACGTCACTGACACACCTGGGGACACACCTGGGGACACACCCGGGCATGGGGACACACCTGGTGACGTCACAGACACACCTGGGGACATTGGGGACACACCTGGGGACATTGGTGATGTCACAAACACACCTGGTGACGTCACTGACACACCTGGGGACATTGGTGACGTCACAGACACACCTGGGGACGTCACTGACATGCTTGATGATGTCACAGACACACCTGGGGACGTCACAGACACACCTGGTGACGTCACAGACACACCTGGTGACGTCACGGATACATCTGATGACGTCACAGACACACCTGGGGACACACCTGGGCATGGGGACACACCTGATGACGTCACAGACACACCTGATGACGTCACGGATACACCTGGTGACGTCACAGACACACCTGGGGACATTGGGGACGTCACAGACACACCCGATGACATCACTGACACACCTGGGGACATTTCAGGGGATTTTGGGGCCATTTTTGGGGTTTTTGGGGACATTTCCGGGGTTTTTGGGGACATTTTTGGGGCCATCTCGTGACGTGTCCCGGAGCCCCTCGGGGACGTTTTCGGGGACGTTTTTGGGGCCATTTCCGGGGGTTTTGGGGACATTTTGGGATGTCTCGGGGAGCTCCTCGGGGACGTTTTCGGGGAGGTTTGGAGGCGTTTTGGGGACATTTCCGGGGTTTTTGGGGACATCTCGAGATGTTTTGGGGACATTTGGGGGATTTTTGGGGACATTTCCGGGGTTTTTGGGGACATCTCGAGATGTTTTGGGGACATTTCTTGGGATTTTTTTGGGGAAATTTCTTGGTTTTTTGGGGACATTTTTGGGGATTTTTTTGGGGACATTTCGGGGCATTTTGGGGACATTTTTTGGGACTTTTTTGGGGCCATTTCTTGGTTTTTTGGGGACATTTTTGGGGATTTTTTTGGGGACATTTCTTGGTTTTTTGGGGACGTTTTTTGGGATTTTTTTGGGGACATTTCTTGGTTTTTTGGGGACTTTTTTGGGGAGGTTTTCGGGGCCACCTCGGAGCGTTTTGGGGACATTTTTGGGGACGGGTCCCTCTGTCCCCTCGGGGACTTTTTTGGGGACATTTCGGGGCATTTTGGGGACGTTTTCGGGGTCGCCTCGCGGCGTTTCCTCGGGGACCCCCTGCCCGTTTTTGGGGACCTCCCGGGGGACTTGGGGCTCCTCCTCGGGGACCCCTTTGGGGACGATTTTGGGGACATTTGGGACAGTTTTGGGGACATTTGGGACATCAGGGACCCCCCCGGGGACATTTGGGGGATCTGGGACCCCTCTGGGGACAATTTTGGGGACATTTGGGACATCGGGGACCCCCCTGGGGACATCGGAGAGGATTTTGGGGACATTGGGGACCCCTCTGGGGACATTTGGGGGATCTGGGACCCCTCTGGGGACATCGGGGACACTTTTGGGGACATCGGGGACACTTCTGGGGACACTTTTGGGGACATTTGGGGACACCCCCCCAGCAGGGTGCCACCCAAGGGGTCCCTGGGGGTGTCCCCAAGGGGGTCCCCAGCCCCTGGTGGCCTCGGGGACATCTCTGGTGGCCCTGGGGTCATCTCTGGTGGCCCTGGGGACATCTCTGATGGCCTTGGTGACCCTTTTGGTGGCCCTGGGGTCATCTCTGGTGACCTCGGGGACATCTCTGGTGGCCTTGGGGACATCTCTGCTGGTCTTGGTGACCCTTTTGGTGGCCCTGGGGACATCTCAGATGGCCTTGGTGACCCCTCTGGTAGCCTTGGGGACATCTCTGGTGGCCCTGGGGACATCTCTGGTGGCCTCGGGGACATCTCTGGTGGCCCTAGTGACCCTTTTGGTGGCCCTGCTGACCCCTCTGATGGCCTTGGTGACCCTTTTGGTGGCCCTGGGGACATCTCTGGTGGCCTTGGGGACATGGCCACCAGAGATC